ACACACACACACACACACACACACACACACACACACACACACACACACACACACACACACACACACACAGAGTGACGATGACCTTACCCTAGGGGCTAAACCAACTGACTGACTAGCAATTTCACACACACATACACGAGATATTGACTCGATGATAGGCCAACAGTGCACGCATCGTATGAAGACAAGGTCATCAATGTCAGTCACAGATAGACGAAATTGAAACATCAAAGCCCCACTGTCACATCAGTGCATGCAGTGGTGCCCTGCCCAACATCGTCCTCACCCGCGTCGTCTGCCCCCAATGCACTCATCGCCCATGAATCACGACCCCTGCCTCGACCCCTGCCTGATCCTGAGCCTCGCGGGCGACCACGAGGTCTGCCTATGCCACCCTGCGATCGTGGAGGAGGTGGTAATGCGCCTCTGTCATCCTCCCTCCTCCTCTTCCTGCCTGCACGACTTGTCTTCACATTATCAACAATGGCTGATGGAAGTCGTGCAGGGAGCGGTGGCATGCCTAATGGACTACGCACAGGAGGGGCAGCTGCCGCTGACGAAGTGGATGCTCGACTCGCGTGCGCAGCCGGGCGTCGTAAAGTCACCGATGGGGGGTGGTGTAGGGAACTGCGAGGGGACACTGCGGGAGATGAAGTGCCACCACCATGACGTCCAACTGTCGTCGATCTGCTGAGAAGATGAACACTTGCTGCATCGGGTGATGGGGTGGCACGTGTGGGCATAGGCATTATCCCATAGAATGAGGCAGTCGGCAGTCTAACATCACTCTCCCTCTCGCCCCCCCCTTTTGTGGCAACCTGAGCATCCTCACTCTGGATCATACTCTCGCGTGTAGATGCTACACCCCTCCTCTCGCTGCCCCTGTCCTCCATCCGTCGAACTATGCTCTCGTCCATGGTAACGTCCACCTGAACCTCCAAGTTGTGTCCATCCCTCCGCTCTCTCCGGTGTTCAATCCTCTAGTCAGCCCTCTGTTCCGCCCTGTCCTGCACCATCTCATCTACCCTCTCCTCCACCCTCTGCTCCACACCAAGCTCTGCGACAGACGCTGGTAATGGGTCCGCCCTGTCATCCACCCTCTGGCTGACGTGCGCTGAGGAAGCACAACCAATCCTCTGCTCCGAGGTCTGAACCACTGTAGGACGAATGACATCACTGACCCTACGCTCTCCACCTCCGCCCGCCACTAGTCCATCACCATCCCCGCCACGTAGCACGACCCTCTGGACAACCGACTGAGTGATGCTCTGTGAACCGCCGCCTCGATGTACAACCTGCTCAGCGACCTGGCGCACGTGGTGTGTGTCCTCCAGCCTCTCATCCGCATGATGACCCTCCCTCCCAATCATCTCCTCCTCTGCCCCTCGCAGAATCCTCTTAGCAGCATGATGGGGTGCTGCAGGAGCCGACCTACGTGCATCAACTGGAACACCCCCAGTATGTCCTCCCTCTCCGGCAATCGACGAATGTGGAATGTGCTGACCTCTCTCCTCCTCCTGCCCTACCTCTGTGCCGCTTGCCTCACCATCCCCGGTCAAAAGCTCCTCCAAATCTAGCCGACCCCCAACCCTCCCCCGTGGACTCCTCACGGTATCCACACTCTGCCCGATGTACGCATCGAAATCGGTGTGAGGGTCCGCTCCACCCCACTCGTCCAATAAGTCATGCTGGTCCTCAGGCAACGTACGACCTGCGTCTCTCCGCTCCTGCTGCGCCTCCATCATCTCTCTGTGCATCCACACCGCATCCTGCCAAAGGGCCTCATCACCCTCCTCATCCTCATCCTCATCCTCCATCGGTGCCTTCCCCTTCCCAAATCGATTACGGCCCTCCTTCCTCCTGTTCCACCTGTCGATCTCCTCCCACTCCTCCTCTGGCAACTCTGCGGGGACACTGTCGTCACCATTGATCTCCTCCGTGGGGTCCTCCACCTGGTCCTCCCACACATAAATGTACCGCATTTCCGTCCTCCTGCTGGCACTGAGGAGCTGCAAGTTCCAGTGAATGAAAACCAGCTTCTCGACACTCTCTGCAGAAAGGCGGTTCCTCCTCTTCGTGTGGATGAAATCGTGGGTGGACCAGTTCCTCTCGCAAGGACTGGCCGTGGACCACATACCCAAAACCCTCTTTGCAATCGTCTGCAGTCTCGGCTCCTTACCACCGTGAAGCTCCCACCACATCGCTGCATGCATCCCCCCCTCCGCCTCGTCCTTCACCGCAAACTCGTTCCACCAGTGCGCTCCACTCTTCGGCCAATAGCGAGGGTCCTCGCAATGGAAAGTCCACAATGCCTGCCAAAGCTTATGCACAGAATCAGACTCCCAACCCGCACCCTGACAGCGAGCCAAGTGGTCTAGCGCACTCTGCACGACTGGGCTGCTGCGGTCCGTCAGCAACGAGATATCACGATGGCGAGGATCCAACAGATACGCAGCCGCATGGGCAGGCTGACGCATCATCCTGCATCTATCGGATATGATATCCATGATCGCCCTCCTCTCATCCTCTGTCAGTCCAAGGCCCCTGACCCTCCCCTGCAATATGCTCTCCAAATCCCACAATCCTGTGGGTGATGACCCATCCCTGTCCATATCCTTGAGGAACCTGTAGCACGGGGCCATGACGTCCACGACCATCTTCACCCTCTCCCACCAAGACTCGTCTCTGCACATCCTGCGCACCTCGGGCTCATCCCTCCTCGCATCCCAAGTCCACCGCACCTGCGCCCACAACTCCCCTTACACGAGCTTGTCTAGCACAGCCCTCTGCTCATATAGCCTCTCCAACATCATGAACGCTGTCCCAAAACGCGTCTCCGCTGGTCGCTTCAGTACTAGAGCGTTCCTCATGGCCTTGTGAAGTGCTAGGGATCGTTGTTTGTTGCGCGTGAACTTGACTAACTTGTGCGCCTTCTTCATGACAGTGGCCGCCCAAGGCTGCGACGCAATATCCCTCATCAGCAAGCTCAAGCAATGTGATGCACACGAGATCCAAGGTATGCGATGCATAGCCGGGTCGGGGTGTGACTGCAAGATGTCGGCTGCTGTCTTCATCACTTCTGCGTTGTCGGTACAGATGGCGTTCACTTTGTCAAGGCCAATGTCATCTCTGATGACTCCCTCCCATATCTCTGCCAGGCCGACTCCAGTCTTCTCCCGATGTGACATGTCGATGGTCCGGATGAGGATGAGTCCGGACTGTCCTGCTGCTATGAAGTAAATGATGGGCTTGTTGGTCGTGTCGGTAGCCCCGTCTATGAGCAGCGTGCATCCTGTGGTAGCCCGCTTTGCCTTTTTAGGTGCAATGAGGGTTGCTACCTCGTGGAAAATGATGTCCATCATCCTTGTGCGGACTCCCTCGTATGTCAGCAGCCGTGGCACCGGCACGATCGAAGGACGCAGGAGTGTGACTATGTAGTTCCAATAGTCTTGCGTCTCCTTCAACCGCAACCAGTTGAAGGTCACTCCACCTCGATAGATAGCAAGGGCCAACAGACGATCAAGATCCTGTTGGACCTTGCTCTTTAGATGAATATCTAGGGTCGTCTGTCTCCTCCTCAGCACCACCTGTGTGGAGGTGGTGGCCGTCGTGCGAGTAACCCGAGCTCCCCCTCCATCCCCTCCACCATGTCCTAAACCTTCAACGCCCCGCAACTCATCTGTCACAGTCCCGACATCCTGCCCCTGCTGTGTACCACCCTCACCATGATCACTGTCTCCAACTCCTCCTGCACAATCCTGCACCGGGTCAGATGGCTCGTCCAACTCCCGCAGGTCCTCGGCGGCAAGCTCTCTATCCATCTTGTCTGCGTGCTCAGCAGCCAGTCTGAGTGACAATGCATCCCTCAACAAAGCACCAGCCGCTTGCAGTCTATACAAAATCTCCCCATTCCGTCGGGGGCAGTGTGCCTTCGGTTTCGTGAAGTGCTCCACTGCTCTAGACCTCGAACCCGTGAACACCTCCCCACACAGTCGGCAGCGCAGGAGGAAGTTGCCTCCGCTCGTCAACCCCCATTCCTGCCCCCTTTCCGCCCACTCCCACACCACATGTGTTCGCCTCAGTTCTGCTTGCTTGTGGCCAGGCACTGGCACAAATGGAGGGAGTTGCCCCCCTCGTGGCCGTTTACTGCCTGTTGCCATGACTACGACGGGGAGGAACAGGATACCGACTGGCCGCCTATGAACGCTGGCCGAGGAATGACTGATTGCTAACTCTCCAATTCCTTGAATTGGTGTCGAATCCTGTGAGACCACTGCGTCAGCCTGGCATGCAGCAAAGGTTCAAGCTTCATGGACAAACCAAGACAGCCATGGAGTTAGATACGAACGCATTTGATTATTGAGTGCTTAATCGACTGATAGTCTCTAATTGATTGATAGTCTCTATTGATTGATTGATTGATTGAATGATTGATTGATTGATTGATTGATCGATTGATTGATTGATCGATCGATTGATCGACTGATTGATTGATTGATTGACTGATTGATTGATTGATTGACTAATTGATTGATTGATTGATTGACAGTCTCTATTGATTGATTGATTGATTGATTGATTGATTGATTGATTGATTGATTGATTGATTGATTGATTGATTGATCTATTGCATTGATTGATTGATTGATTGATTGATTGATTGATTGATTGATTGATTGATTGATTGATTGATTGATTGATTGATTGATTGATTGATTCGTCAATTCATCTCCTCCACCTCCATCTCCTCCTCCTCCATGCCCTCCTCCATGTCCTCCATCTCCTCCTCCTCCTCCATGTCCTCCATCTTCTCCATCTCGTCCATCTCCTCCATCTCCTCCATCTCCTCATCCTCCATGTCGTCCTCCATGTCCTCCATGTCCTCCTCCTCGTCCTCCATGTCCTCCTCCTCGTCCATGTCCTCCATCAACCTCCTCCATATATGTCCTCCATGTACTCCCCCTCCGTCTCCTCCATCAACCTCCTCCATGTCCTCCTCCTCCATCAACCTCCTCCATATCTGTCCTCCATGTACTCCCCCTCCATCCCCTCCCGCCCACCTCCTCCATGTCCTCCTCCTCCATCTCCTCCTCCATCTCCTCCTCCTCCATATCGTCCACCTCATTCACTCATCCATTCCTCTTCTTCTTCGTCTTCGTCTTCCTCTAACCTTCTTGTTCTTGTTCTTCTTGTTCTCCTTCTTCTTCTTCTTCTTCTTCTTCTTCTTCTTCTTCTTCTTCTTCTTCTTCTTCTTCTTCTTCTTCTTCTTCTTCTTCTTCTTCTTCTTCCTCTCCTTCTTCTTCTTCCACCCGGTCTT